TTAGTCATTTTTCCGGATCTAGCCACATTAAATATTGAAACACAAGTTACAATAGTTTCGCCAGACAAAACTAACTTTATTTGAAGTTATAATTTCTTTAAGGAAATTATAGTTATAATTCCTTGAAATATAATATCTTTCGAATATTATTGTGGTATAATAAATACTTGTTCATACAAAAGATTTTTGTATCAAATATGTATATGTATTATATAATGTGTACAATTTCCCTGAATTTAATTTTTTTTTTTTTTTGGGAAAAAGTATAAAGAGTTGAAATCGTACCAAAGTATTTCCAAAAATTTACCCTGCTTGAGCCTCCCTTTAGTGAAAGACGACAAAAATATTTAAGCCTAAAAGACGTAAGCTTGAAAGGGAAGTAAGGTACCTGCAGCAATCAACAATTAACCTACTCCAAATATACGATAGAGGAATTAGAAGAGATAGAGAAAGAGAGAGAGAGAGAGAGTATGGAGTCAAGTAGTCACTCAAACAGTCTGGAGAAGCGTCTAAGAGTTAGCGGCCCAAAATCGGATAGTCCCCGTCGTAGAACTCTTATGTCATCAGAGCTTTTTATTCTAAGTATTACACTTAGAGATTAATCCTGAGGTAACCCACTCTCTCCCTCCCTTTCTTTCTCTATCTCCCTTTCTTTCTTTCTCTCTCTCTCTCTCCTTCTTTCTTTCTCTCTCTCCCTCTTTCTTTCTCTCTCTCTCCCTATCTCTCTCTCTTTCGTTTACTTTCTCGTCCTCACTCTCTCTTTTCTCCTGCCTAAACTTCAACGTCTTTCAAAACAAAAGTTTTCATTTCGTTTTTGACATGTTCGTTCATGTAAAGCAACACAATTTTCATCTGCCGTTTTCTTCATATTGAAGACGCTAGCGAAAACTTCATTTTTTTCCCTGTTACGGCTCTCCATTAATAAAACGCTCAAAATGTAATATTCTGCTGATATATTTAGACATTTACTCACATTTCGGCTCCGAGAGTTGCAGAATTTCATAAATCTTGATTTTCGTATTTGATGTGACAGACGCAGCGTTTTGTATGTGAGATTGGCTAACAGAATATATTTTTCTACCATCATCATCATCATCGTCGTCAACGTCATCAGCATGATGCCGGCTGTCGTTGGCGAACAACTTCCTTTGCAATTTACACTTTAATTAATACGTCACGATTGCAAAACAATCGCAACATTTGCCGCATTCCACTCATTTCATGGCAATCACAATAATTGTGTGTGTGTGTGTGTGTGGGCAGTGGAGTGATGTGGCATTTGAACATCCTGGCAGCTCCTTTCAGGCGCAAATGTCAGTGCAGATTATGCCGTCGTCCTCGTCCTCCTCGTCGTCGTCGACTGTCGCCAATAGTACGGGACATGTTCATTGGCCATGGCGTGTAATACGTACGGCCAAAGTGATTCCAATTCCGGTGCTGTCGGCCATTTTGCCATATGAATGAATGAAATATAACAAACACACACACATACATAAAGAGAGAGTGAGAGAGCCACCCACTGTTTGGGTCGTGCCAGCGATTATTAACAATTGGGCCATGCGCGATTTCCTTTAGCCTCGTTTCATCTGGCTTTGCCGTTTTCCATTTCATTACATTTGCCCACCTTTCGCATTTTTGTATTGGTTAAGCATTTCATTGAAATTTACAATTCGCCGTCGACAGTGCGCATCAAGACCCGGGGACACGGACACGGACACGGAGAGAGACCCAGACCCCGACCCAAATCCAGGCCCATTGCTGTTGCGTACATTTTCTTTATTTATTTTTTTTTTTATTTCATTTTTTTTTTCTTTGGTATTTTGCAACCATCTACTTATTGCATGCTCAACCGCTGAGTGTGTTTTATTGTTTTCCCGCCAGCCAGCCGGCAGTGCAGGCTCTCGGCCCTTTTAATCATTTACACTTGGCTAGCGGCTTTTTGCCAGCTCAAAGCCACTTGAAACTTATCGCGCCACGAATGAATTATAAGCTCAATTCAGGCCTGCTTCTGTGGCTCCGGCTGCTGCTGCTGCTGCTGCATTTTGCTTATCGATTGCCACAAGCTGAATCCAACAATAAGTTTCGATAAGCGGCAATTGGCATTCGAGCTGACTTTTCCAGTTGTATGGGCGAGCAGCTTAAAGCCTATCAATTCATTATTCAACACTGTAGCCGGACAGCGAATGCTTTTCAGCACTGTCCATTGTCAATGCAATCATTCGCAGATTTCATGAGATCAGATTTCAGCTTTCATTCCATTGAAAATTATTCCAGCTGCTTCAGTTCACACACTTAACATAATTTATCATTATTGAATCGATTTCACATACAGACTTACACAACACTGAAAGCGAAAAAATATGTCTATCAGAATTGTTATTATATATTTTTTTAATTTTTGTAGACTTTTTGAACACTAAATTTAATTAATAAAGCAAATCGACGCGAATTTCAAGTCGTATCATTATTTGAAAGTTTTTATCAACATTGAAGCCATTTTAAGATGTATTATTATTTTATTTATCAACACAGAATGCAAGCCATGTGTGTTATGCAACACTCCACCTTATTTATTTATGATTATTTTTTTTTTTTATTATTTTAATATATTCTATATATTCGCAGCTCTAATTCAAGCTCTTGAGACTTACACAACACTGCATATTTTCTAATTTTGTATATCTTTTTTACTTTATTCTTAACACAGAATTAAAGGACAGCACTATCCAACACTGCATGTTAATCAATAGTCTAGATATTTCCATTACACTAAGATCCGCCGTTTTCTCACATTTTCCTTTACCCTTTAACCTGTTCCATGTCTTCAATGAAAGACTATTATCACTTCATAGCTTATCCTAATGAATCTTGAATCGTAAACAGATTATTATTTAATGCCAGGCCTCAGCTTAGGCCTGATATCATCTCTAACTGAGATCCGTACTTAATTTCCATAAGAAAGCCGAAACCTTTTGCGGATTCATCTTCCACTTATTGGCAATGATTTAAGGTACCGTCTCAAAGGCTGGCGTCGCTGGCGAGGCCTGGCCTCAAGATGAAGTGTGAATTTGTATGACAACAGCTGAAGTAGGCACGGAATATTTTCAGCAATATTAGTGTCGGTCGGAATTAGAGGGAAAAGGATGCCGGACAGCGGACAGCGGACAACGGACTGCGGACGCGCAGCATGGTATCTGTTATCCTGTATCTGGTAGCTGTTATCTGGTATCTGGGCAGCGTTACGGTTCACTGCTTTTCGCAATGCTGAATGCAAAAACAAAAGCCGCTGACATGGCACCAGATGCCGCAGCACTTCAAGTCCAAAGGACAGAGCAGAGGGGACGGGGGCGCCGAGCAATCTGCGGGCGAAAGTTCGAATGGGTCTTAAGATTGGGAAATGGCCAACTGTCGCCAGTTGCTTACTCTCGGCATTGGCCTTTTAAATTTGATTTTATTAAGCCATTTGCAAGTGATTCCACGTTGAAAATTAACATTCGAAATAGTGTTTATTTTGTTTTTGACAGGACGCACACGAAAAAAAAAAGAAAAGAAAAAAACAAACAAAAACCAACAGCAGCGACTAACGAAAACAAGTTGAAAGCGCCCTGTGCCGATGGCGCTCGGGTCTGCCCGACTCCAAGGTACTCGCTACCCAAACGTTTGGGAATCCCCTACTGCTTTGCCGTAGGGCTTTCGAATTGTTTTCCTACTGCGATTTTTCGCTTTGGCGGGGTTAACTGAATTATGTCTCGATTCCCAATTGAATTCGATGTAAGCTTGTTCTGTTTGAAAGAGAAGTTATACAATAAGTTCGAGTTAGTAACAGTTAAATCTCTCTGCGAATGAAGGCTTCTAAAAGGGAATTTCCCTCTACTTTCTGGCTTTTAATTAGAGCTCTAGCTCAAAACCATTTCAAGCAAATTAATAGAGGTCAGCAGTTCCTCAATTTATGTGCTTCTAGCTGCGAGACAATAGAAGATATATGTATGGCTCCAGTGTACGTGATAGATTTCTCTTTTAACAAATCTAGAGGTAATGTAACTGTGAAATTTGTGGCTTGCGGTAAAAATTACAGGGTATATTCGATATGCCAATCCTTGTAATTGGTGTACAGATCATGATTGGAGCTTCAATAGAGAACGCAACTCCATAATTTTCATGTTTCTAGCTCTGAAGTTACAGAAGGAACAGACTCTTCGAATTCGCCCGGTCTACAATGAGCAGCGATACAGCCGCTATATCTATTAGGTATTGATTTGTCAGACCAAATATTTATTTCACAGTTCAAGAATTTTTCACTATAATTGATATTTGTTCAGATATAATAATATCCCACATATTGTACAAATCTGAGTACGTTTTAGTTGAGGGTGCCCAAGAATATGATCAAAATTGCGAATCATTGGCTTAATTAGTAACAAAAAGATTTACGATTTTCCGGGCGGACTGACAAAAAGGCGGACACTACATAAGATCCGTATGCTCCTTGCCTTCGTAAATGCGTATAATAAAAAATACTTGGCTGAATATTTTTCTACTTTGTTTTTGGCTTTTACTGTCGACTGACCTTTAAATGTTTCGGTTGGAGTCGGCAGATAAGTTTATAAAGAAGATATTTAGGGTCACTTAACCCGAAAGCCGGGCATTCTTTGAATCGCAGCCAACAAAGTGATGGAAACATGGCCCCATATGTGCCTGTGTGTGCGTGTGTGTGTGTGCGAGTCAATCAAATACTTGATGAGAATATTTCCAACAGAACTTGTTTTCGAGCTGCTGGTACTTTTATTAACTATTTAACAGCCACATGAAATGCCGTTAACGAGGCAAATACTTGGCGAAATTTGTAACACGCCAGACCCGGCCCCAGTTAGCACTGAAGACTAGCATGAATTGTTTTTTGAGTTTTATTGCAGCACTTTAAGGACACCTTCGATGCAATCATTGCCAATAATTCCCATTCTCTTTCTCTCACTCACATTCTTTCTCTTTTTCTCCCGCAGGTTTCGTTCTTCTTGTCGTCGTATGTGGCCCCGTTGACGCTGATTTGCTTTCTCTATATGGGCATGCTGGCTCGATTGTGGAAGAGTGCGCCCGGCTGCAAGCCATCGGCTGAATCGCGGTGAGTTCAGGCGAAAGTTCGCAAAAAAATATTACGTATACGCCTTGGTTTCGCTATTGGTATTGGAATGACGCGCCTAAGGGCGCCTTGTTGCCTGCTTGTTGACTTCCCACACACACACACACGCACACACACACAGATACACGTGTGCACACACAAATGGAGGCGACTGCACCTGCCCCATACGCAATGATGAATGTCCTTTTACTACGCCACCGAGTGAAGCAGTTCGTGGCCGCGGCTCATAAATTTTTAAGCACTTTTCCCTTGATTTTTCCCCACTCTCTCTCTCTCCCTCTCTCTCTCTCTTGTTTTCGCTCTTGTTTGTTTGTTTTTCAGCCCACTAACTCGCCGAACGAGCGCTTTCCTTTCGCTTTTCAACTTGATTTTCCAATTTTCATTTGTTGCACGCCCAAAAATATTTGATTTTCCTTCACTTTTTTTACAATCTGAACTTGCCATAATCGTAAATAATTAACACAGGCATAACAGTCGAGAGCAGACGCTTTTATTGCCCCATAGTTACAATCGCACCAGCTGATGAAAATTCTGATTTGTGCTTTGGCTGACATTTTAATGTTAGCGATATATAAAAAAAATTTGAGCTCTTTGCATTGTATTGATGAGGAAATATCAGATGTGCTTTATAGGAATATTACCTCGCTGACCTACAGTCTAGCCTAATAGATACCGAATTTTTTCATCTGAATACTATGAGCACCAACATCTAAAATCTAGATATGGATACAGTCAATGTACAGTTTTTTTTTTTTTCTAGAGCATATTTCTCAGCAATTCATTTTCTAATTATCTTTTCTATATTATGTCATAATTTTTCTAAAATATTTTCATAGACAAATAACATATTTATAGCAAGGAACTCCAAGGTTTCAGTGTCTTGGATAGTCTGGTACTATCAAATTTATGCTAAGGCCACACAAGCTCAGCACATCGAATTGATAATAGAAACTAGTTTCATTTCATACTTGAGCTTCCCTACAAAATTTATCTCTTTGATGATGCTTGACTAGGATGTTCAGACTATTGTAAAAATCATTTGAAAAAAAATAATGTGAGCAGAGTTTTTTATTAAACGCGAACGGCAGACAACGTTCAGCCCCTAAATGTGTGCATTGGCATAAGAAAATGCCTAAGGTAAAAAAAAGTAATGGTATAGCTTAGAATAATATGGTAAGAGTAAGTTTGGAATATGAAAATATCCAAATTTCTTATGTATCTCTGTAGAAAGTAGAACAATTGAGTAGCAAAACAATTTTTATCGGTCCCTTATGAGGTCTCTCTGTAAGTAAATCAGACGCCAATTATATAATTCCTGGAATGTACGCAATCAGCAAAACTATGCAATGCTCGCAATGCATTTGCCATTGACGTGCACAAACGGCATTCAAGTTCAATCAAAATGTTATTTAATCAAAAAATATCTGCATGTATACAAAAGAAATTCAGGGCCAGGAAGCTATAAAGTACCTGCCAAAGGGGGAATAAAAAGCGAAAACGAAAACGAAAACAAAATGCAAAGGATACCATACAAAGTGAACAAATAAAATAATGGCATTCGTGACTTTGTGAATCGCAAAACACATTTTAAATTGCGCTTTTAAGCCATGAGCACATTGAATACGCTTTGCGCGGGTATATTAGTTTTTAAATGCACTTGGACAACTTTGCCTAAAAACCAAAACTCAGAGAGAGCATATTATTTAAAGCTGAATAAATTATCTCATAATAGGTAATATTATCAATCTATAATAAAGTCCATTTAAAGTAGAATATATAGGGTATCATATAGTTTACCAACACTGGCCGCTGCACTCTTGTTTGCTATTTTGCCGTTCAACCTTAAAGCGTGCCACACGCTGTGTATGCGTGATGTGCTGCTTTGTCGCACCCAAATCAAAATTCCAATTCCGCATTATGCCTGCATTACGGCCGCACAGCATTCGCTTGTAGAGTGTGTGGGCGTATGTTTATAAATGAGTATTTCTATTTACCTACAACTACATATGTACATAGAAAAGGGCATCGAATCCATATGCAAATTGCTCATACGCCGCGTGACGCATTTGTGCATTTGACGCCAGCAAACGGCCCGATGCAACATTGCATTGGCTGGGTTCATAAATCAGCTGGTGTATGCCAATATTTATATTTCTTTTTAGCTACAGACATCTACATGCATAATCATGCAGGCGCCTATTAGATATACATATATGTATGTATGTATATACATAGATAACCTATTATCTTATCTTCTCTCTTCCAGCAAGGGCAAGCGACGCGTTACACGTATGGTTGTTGTTGTGGTCCTCGCCTTTGCCATCTGCTGGCTGCCCATACACGTGAGTAGAACCAATCCATAAGACCAATGGGGGTATACTAAGCCATCCAAGAAGTCTAGTATCTATAAGGATTTCATAAAATATCTGTGCTAGAAAAATAAATTCAGTTTGAGCTGACTATTGATATGTATATTGATGTATTGATGTATTGATATATTTATATATTGATAAAATTATATATTGATATACTTATATATTAATATATTAATGTATAAATATATTAATTATAATACATTGTATCAATTTACTGATATATTGATATATTGATGTATTCATTTATTGATATATTGATATATTGATGTATTGATATATTGATATATTTATGTATTAATGTATTAATATATTAATTATACTTATTACTGATATATCGATATATTGATGTATTCATTTATTAATTTATTGATATATTGATATATTGATGTATTGATATATTGATGTATTGATATATTGATGTATTGATATATTGATATATTGATACATTGATATGTTTATATATTTATATATTGATATATTTATGTATTCATGTATTAATATATATGAATATATCAATGTAATACATTGTATTAATGTACTGATATATCGATATATTGATCTATTTATTAGCTCATCTATGGGTATTCTGATAACTCGACTATAAATAACATTTAGTGTACTGACATTTACTTGCCTTGAGTCGTCCTTTTCAAGGCTTAGGCACACTTTCAGCTTTAATGAACTTTCACAGGATCTGTAGGGGTAGGAGCGATTGTATTGAATTACACTGTGTAAGAGCTCGTCTTATTTGCATTAGATTGTTTGTAAAATATTGTACAAGCTCTTGTAACATTTAAAACTCGCCCACTTCAAATTAAAGCGGCAGCAGCTGGAGCTGTAGCTGTAGCTGTAGCTGGGGGCTATGGCTCGGCTGCTGGGCAAACAGAAATAGAGCACAGAAACCAAAGACAAGCGCTGGGTAAATAGTGAATACACTGGCAGAAACTCGAACACACTCGGCGCAATTGTGAGCGTCATTAGGCGACAAATTGACATTTTCTCTTAGTAAATGGTCGCAATTATTTGCTCGAATGTTGAATAAGCAAAAACGCAGCTGACATTTGGCTCGTTCGTGGAAGTGTTTGCACAAAATCAATGCGCTTACAAATTGCAAATGCAATATACAAATTGAAAATCAGAGGAACACACACACACACACACAGAGAGACGGAAACGGAAATAGCCGGGACTGTGATTGATATGGAGAACGGGAACTAATGATGTGCAGAAACTGAAAAACGTAACTCAATGCATTATTGCCTGTTGCAGGTCATACTGGTACTGAAGGCGCTCAACTTGTACGGCGGCACCCATTTGACAGTCATCATTCAAATCATATCCCACGTACTGGCCTACACCAACTCCTGCATCAATCCCATACTTTACGCCTTCCTGTCTGACAACTTCCGTAAGGCTTTCCGCAAGGTAAGCAAATTTCAATTATTCAAATTTAAATAGATTTAATTTTAAGCAACAATAAATTCAATTAAATTAAATATTCTAAACGATCTTTAGTTGAATTCATCAGGTTTTTTTTACTGTCTGGGGAGAAAAGATTTGCAATTGTAGAAGAAACGATGAACAGACAAACAGACTACAAAGGATCAGACGACATACGAACTATTGAATCGATTAAGAACTGTAGGAACGGATAAATGTGATCAAATTGACATACGAACAAGCAGACTGTAGAAGAGACATATGGAGGGGAAGAAGGCCAACTCAAAAGATGGAATCAGTGAAAACACAGCTTAACAAATGATTCGTCGGACGATAGGTCAGATGATCAACTCATCCGACGGACGGATAAATTATGGGCAAGTGCGACAGATGAATAAGGAGTTGGGCACAGCAGTGAAACAACTGCTGAGTATAGATAAGCAAGTGATGCGTTGAACAAAAGATCAGATTATCGAATGATCTGTCAAACGGACAAAGCGACGGACAAACGAGTAAATGAAATGAAAGAAAGTAGCCAGATGGATGAATATACATATATTTAATAACAGGAAAAAGTATAACGATCGAGGTAATAGAAGAAAATACGAATAAACAGATGGATAACAGACGGACAACAGGATGACCACAGACGGATAGCAGACGGTCATCAGATGGATAATATACGGATAACAGAAGGACCACAGTTGAAGAACAGAATGACAACAGGCGGACAACAGACAGACAACAGACAAACATCCGACGGACAATAGACTGATAATAAACGAACAACAGACTTACAAACTGATAGCAGACGGACAACAGAGGGACAACAAACGGACAAGGGTACGGACAATGGGAGAAACAATATACGGATAACAGACAGATAACAGGCACATAGCAGACGGACAACAGACTAAGAACGGCGGATGACAGAGAGACAACATATGAATAACAGACAGATAACAGACACATATAAGACGGACAACAAACGGACAACAGACGGATAACACACGGACAAGAGACGGACAACAGACTGATAACAGACGGACAAGGGGATGGACAATATACGGATAACATACAGATGAGAGACAGATAAAAGGAACATATCAGACGGAAAACAAACGGACAGCAGACGGATAGCAGACGGACAACGGACTAACAACGACAGATAACAGACACATATCAGACGGACAACAGATGGATAACACACGGACAAGAGACGGACAAAAGACTGATAGCAGACGGACAATTGAAGGACCACAGTCGGACCACCGACGGACAACAGACGAATGTAGTATTAATGCATTGAAAACCTCTTAGCATAAACAAAATGCATTCAATAAATTTGAATTAGTTAGCTTCTCCTACTACACATCTAGTTTACAGAAACACAATATCATAAATCAATATTAAATATAATTTCTGATATACATATATTATAACTATACATATGTATGTGAACCCACACATCCCTTTGCAGGTCGTCTGGTGTGGCAGCCCACCGCCAATTGTGACCAACCAACAGATGACAAAGACCACGAGAACTGCGACCGGCAATGGCACGTCCAACATAGAAATGCTCTAAGCTGGTAAGCGACACTAACTAAACCAAGTTATTTAGAATGCTTAGCTAATACCTACACTTTCTATTTCCCTCTCTCCCTTTCTCTCTCTCTCTCTCTCTCTCTCTCTCTCTCTCTCTCTCTCTCTCT